ATGGAATATGGTCAACCTCTTTTCGTTTGGTTGTCACGTGACTGACCAAGCGTACGTACGTACGTGCCCTCTGTTATGTATACTAAAGTACTATAAGCATCATGAGATGCAATAAACCACGAGGTTTGGAATTCAATATGGCTGTTGTATGATACAGTCGCATTTTTCGTTCATTTGCGATCGAGTTAGACTTTGTGGAACTCAGAATGTAAAGTAACAATGCTATAGAATACTCTGCTTGGAAAAAAATGGATATCCAGGTCTTAAAGGTGACAGAATAAGCTCTCGAGTCAACGACACTACGATTCTCTAAGGCGATGCGAATTATGGACGTAAAGTGAAAACCGAATTTTCGGACTTCAAGCAGGGCTTAGCGACAATTTCACGATTCGATGGCCCGGTAAATATTATGTTCGAGTAACAATGTGTTCAAAAAGTATCGGTTAATAGAAGATTTTGCGTCAAATCGAAGTTTTTCAGAATTTTCAAGATAACGCTGCGCAATTTCTGGCTTTGAAGGCAAGTAAACAACGATCTAAGCATGATGAATTTTACCACGTGGGCTTTGTACACGTAAGAAATTCGTACGTTTTTCGCTTATAACAGGAAACCAAAAACTGGTTTGAATAAATTTGTCGTCCCGAAATATTTTAATACATGTAAAGAAATTTAATTGCAAAATTTTCACTTATTGGGAGCTCCGCTTTTAGGATTGGTTGAATCTATATATTACATACTGAGATTTACAGTGTGAAGTACTACCATTCGTGTCTCTAATTGGACGAACGATGTGTTTTCACAGTCGTTCGCTGCCAATCTTTGAAAATGGGTGGATCAGTAGGAAAAAAATCTCGGTGTGTATAATGCTAAAAACATCAAACCATGAAAAGTGCGATCACTCGTTCAATTTTTCTGATGCATCACAACTCGTGAATGAATTCGTTCGTGCGCACTTTCCATGGAATAACCTCTAGGTCTCACTTGTGTATCACAGCTATTGTGAACCTTGACAGCTTTTCATCCACCGAGCTGCTGTATACCGACAGTTGCGAACTGTTTTGACTGTTAAACACGTAGTTGATTTTGAATACAGAAATAATAATAATAATAATAATAATAATAATAATAATAATAATTTAGCAATGGACATTCCACTGGGTGGCTCTTCTTGTCCACTGTTTCCAGATCGAATTGGAATTTGAAATATTGGTTTTTGCGGAGGGAGGAAAACCGGAGAACCTGGAGAAAGCACAGGTCCGGGAATCGAACCCGGACCACAGTGGTGGGAGGCGAGTGCTCTCACCACTGCGCCATCCCTGCTCCACAAGGCATTTGCCGCTATGGCAGCAAACCTAGTCTCCTCTCGCAGCCGTTCTTTGTGTCGGAATCCCTGTGTCTCCCTCCCTACAAACGGCTGCTCGTGTTGACCAAACATTCCATTCCCTTTGTTTCCTTCAACCAATGAGCGTTGAGCAGTTGTTCGGGACCCGCCAATCAGGAAGTGAAAAGTTGCACATGAGTTTACGGGGGAACATCTCTCAAAACTTCACCAAATTTCATGTTTGTAGAGCTAAATATGTCATTATTTTTCAATTTTTATGGGTGATACCTCGAAGAAAATAACTTGCAGTAATTTATTTGGATGTCTCCTATGTACGTCAACAGTTTCGACAAAAGAAAGAGTTAGAATCTTCAGAAGATCGGCTGATGTAGCGAGCGTCATAAGTTTAGCACTGGGTATAAATTTGGAAGCTTTCGACATTTATTTGAATTCTACTTTATATATATATATATGTCTCAAATGCTACTGAAAAGTTGCCAAGATTAAGAAATTAGAAAACGATCTCCAACAGCTACAAATTAAACTGAAAGCTGGCTATGATTCCATTCAAGATCGCCGGGTTAAAAGACTTCAACCATCACTTGACAGCGACTCGAACACAAAGTGACCTTTTGTAGCGAAAGCTCTCGATTTCACCGGCCATAGCACATGTACTTCTTGCCTCCAAGTCCTACAGTTGAATCGCCAGTATCTCTGCCTTGTGCGCCTCAATCTTCTAGTGCATCAGCTATACTGCTACCTATTCTACCCGTCAGTCCAATAATCGCTGAGAAATCGCCGCATGTTCACACGACAAAGCTCGCAGCTCCAGTATCATCTACTCCAAAGCCATGGCCGACCGAACCTAAAGTCAGCTCGTGCATTGAATACCCAAGCAAAACTATCAATAAGAAACTTGGTCCAGACGTGAAAGCTATTGCCTAGGCTTTGGCTCAGGGTCCCCCTTTAAGATTTGCTTATGCAACTTTAAAGTCTAACTCGATGCGCAAGCATATTATCCAAAGGGTCTTACGTATTGTCTCTGGAAAAATAACTGGGCTTTTCTTATTGAAAAAACCATCATTGCTCCGAAGAAGCTCAAAGAAAGATTTTGGAAATTTCGATCTAAAGCCGGAGAATTTTTGACGAATGGAGGGAGAGAGCACCAGTATTCTACTCGTTCCTGTTGACAAGTTGCACAACAAACATTTTGAAAAGCATTGGCGAGATGAATATATTATGAGCCTTTCAGATTTCGGAAGGCGGCACTGATATTGGTCAATCGGCTGGGATTGAATGTTTGGTCAACACGAGCAGCCATTTGTGGGGAGGGAGACACAGGGATTCCGAGACAAAGAACGGCTGCGAGAGGAGACTACAGCAAACCCGAAACGGAAAAATTTAGCTGTCTCGACTCTTGATGTGTGGCTCATATAGCGACTTTCACTAACTTGTCAAGAGAAATTATGGTTATGTATGCCCCTCCGAAAAAAAAAATTAAATAAATTAGTTGAAATTGACTGGGTGTTATCGATCGAATTTTATACCTTTTAGATAAAAGCTATCCCTTAATTAGAGCCTGCCATCACATCCTCGCCTTTTCCGTATAAACTTTACATCATGATAAGATAAATAGATAAGCTAGAAGTAATCAGAGATTAATGAAGAGTGTTCATTTTTGTTTCTTTCATTCATCAAAGTTTTCACGATGGTTCTACATTTTATCGTTTTGTTGCCAATTCAACGAAAGAAAACCTCAAAAAAAGATTTACGGCTGGGTCTTTGCACTATCACCATACAGCAATTAAGTGAGTTTAGCAGTGTGCCAAACTGAACCCGTGAATGAATGTAAAGCTCAGTAGGTTTTTTTCCTTTCAATGATTATCGTTCGGCCAACCTGCAACTTGAAAACTGCTGTCGCCCTTACAAACGAATGCATGTCTTTTACGAATAACGGACGCATAAAATTGGGAATTTTTGTCTTCGACCGTTGAGTCATTCATGCACCCGTAGGGGTCTTTTGATATGTAAAAAGCGTTTACTGTGAGCGAAACTGTGAATCTAACTCAGTACACACTTACAATACTGCACGACAGTTTCCTTCAAATTTTGTCTCACTTCTCTGATCTTCCAGCAATAGAGAAACGGATTCAGAGAAGAATTTAGGTAGACTAAAGTGGCAGTTGCTAACCAAGTAATGTAATACTGGTCTCCCTTATAGATCCTGAGCACAGTTACGCAGCAAAACGGAACATAACAGCCCAACAAAGTCACCTGAATCCAAAAAACGGCGGATACGGTGTTTTTGTACCGTTCTATATTCAGGCCAATTCTTCCGTCCTTCGGTTGTCCTTGGCGGAGTTGTATTTGAATTTGACGATGACGCAACAAAAGGTGGATCTTGGTGTAAGAAAAGATCGATGTTAGCATGCAAAGGGCAGCACAGATGGAAGCAATTATCCAAGCGATGCGGGAACTCCAAACCTCTAACGCGCCACACGAAATACCAATCAGCCAAGACGACGCCGCAAACGCTCTAACGCGACTCATTGTTACAACCTGTTTGTACCTCAGTCCCAAAGACAAGGCTAAGAGCCGATCAACACTGATCGCTGTCGAGGTAAGCACTGACACTCCACAAAGCATGATACTCACAGCAGGATTTATTTTACCGATGTATGTTCTTGCTCTTGTGTACACCCTTGTTAAGTAACACAGCAGAAAGGTTGCATGTAATGCATGTGAAATTAGCCCAACGGAGAGATCTGTAACTGCTAGTGCTAGAAATAAATGTTTTGTGGGCGTATGAAGCGTCGTGACTTTCTTAAGGGAAATTAGGATGAAGACGTTGCCTAGAAATGCAGTTATCGAGAGGAAAATATTGATGGCTGCCAAAGAAGCAATGACACTTGTTCGCCACAGCGTTCTTGGGTTATCTGGCGTACTTGTGAAGTTCATCTCTGTGTAGTCTGCCATTGTTCCTGCGGCTGTTCCTTCGGTTTCGTTTACCTTTTCCGACGAAGAAGAAGGAAACCTTCAAGTTTCTGCGATTCAAAGCAGTTAGTGTTGCTAATTAAAAGAGGCCGTGCAGTTTTATGCCGCACTTGTAAATCACAGCTATTGTTAGCCATTGCAGCTTTAAACATACAGCTGGTGTATACAGACAATTGCATTGTGAGCTGTGTGCTCGAAACATTTCCATTATTTTCAGTGGGATAAACTAGAATACGTTGCTGATTTTGATAACACAATTCATTTTAAAACAGATTTGTTGCTATGACAACAAAGCCAAAACAGAAAAATTCGGCCTGTCCTGATGTGTTGTTTACATTGAGACTTTTACTTACTATTTAAGGTCTTAAGTAATAAATGCTGCTTCTGACAAGAAAAATATTAAGTCGGTCGACTTGACTGATGGTTTTCGATCAAAATAAATACCTTCTTGTGTTTCCTTTGAGAACGATATGTAAATGTCATTAAACATTTAAAAAAATTGTCGCCAATTTAAGTAAATGAGGATTTTTGAGAAAACAGACGTTATCACAATCAATATACACGGCCAAATAGGAAACTGGCCCCTTGCCGAAGGTTCTCAACGGGCCAAAACCTACCGACAGCTTCTATTGCACTATCCCCCCTCCCCCTGCTCCCCAGTAAAGAAAAAACAAACTCAGAGAAAGGAAGATAAAAAAAATTTCATTTTTCTGTCCGTTTAATTTTGCACGATTAAGGAAAAAATATTTCCTAATCTTTGTTAACATCAACTCATTTCTGATTGGCCACCAGCGAACGTATAACTATATTATAAAGGGGTTTCTGCTTTGCATTTTGTTCTGTAAAATATGACTTTTCTTCACAAGAATAAAAAAAACACATTCAATGAAAATCAACAAAAAGGGGGAGAACTGTCTCTTTAGAAGGATACGCCCCTAAAGAGGGTATGAATTAGATATATAAATAAATAACAACAAAAATGAAACTAGAAAGAAAATAGAAAAGTAATATGTTTTTAATTTTTTCAATCAAATTAAAAATGCTTTGGTTTATCATTTAATATCTACAACAATTCATATGAAGTATATCACTCCATATGTATTTACACTCTTAATTAAAATATCTCAGCGATTATTCCGTTAAAAAGGCAACCTTGAGTTGAAAAATTCGGCTTCAAGCAAGTCATTTGAGTTCTACCACTTCAATTAACCCTTTAACTCCCAAATCTCATCAATAATTTTCCTTACTCTCTGTTAAACAATTCTTGTGAAAATATTTAAGAGAATTTGGTGTTACACAAGGTGTAATATGCGCACAATACTGTACTGACGATGTAACGAGAACTTCTGTGGAAGTCACTCTGGGAGTTAAAGAGTTAAGGTGTTAGAAAATTAAATGATACTAAATAGGGAATTAAAGCAAACTACGACGGCCATGGCAACGAGAATGTGGAAAAACAATAGATGTAATTGGCAGAACAATAGCCCAGCACGTGCGTTTTATAACTTTGTACATTTCTTAGCCGTCTTTTGCAAAACAACAACGTGAAATCACCAAAATTTGCGTCGTCTGCGAACCTAAACCGCGGCGGCAAATTATTTAAATTTACATTTGGAACTCTACGCTACTTTTATGCGTTATGTTGAGTTTGGGGTCTGGCGCCCTATGAGACGGTAAACACATGCAGCCATTTTCTAACTAAAAGTGGAAACTCATTTTTTAATCGAGGTCTTCCGTGGCGTTGCCGTCGTGACTGCTTAAGTTCCCTAATAGGGACTTTAGGGACCTTAAGCAACCACGACGGCGACGGCAACGAGGACGTGGAAAAACAAGAGATCTAATCGGCAGAACAATAGCTCAGCACGTGCGTTTTGAAACTTTGTACATTTCTTAGCCGTCCTATGCAAAACAACAACGTGAAATCGCCAAAATTTGCGCCGTCTGCGAACCGAAACCGCGACGGCACATTATTTTAATTTCCATTTGGAACTCAACGCCATTTCTATACGTCTTGTTGAAGTTGAGCTGTGGCGCCTTATGAGATAGTAAGCTCATGAAGCCATTTTTGAAATTCTGACTAAGAGTAGAAATTCATTTTTTAATCGAAGTCTTCCTTGGCGTTGCCGTCCTGACTGCTTAAGGTCCCTTTTAAGCAGTCAGGACGGCAACGCCACGGAAGACCTCGATTAAAACATGAGTTTCTACTTTTATTTAGCATTTCGAAAATGGCTGCAGGTATTTACCGTCTCATAGGGCGCAATCGCCGTCTTTTGCAAAAGACGGCTAAGAAATGTACAAAGTTTTAAAACGCACGTGCTGGGCTATTGTTCTGCCAATTAGATCATTTGTTTTTCCACGTCCTCGTTGCCGTCGTCGTCGTGGTTTCTTAAGGTCCCTAATGACTCCCTTATGACGGTGAAAGAAGCCGTTAATGGATGTAAGTACTTGAAGGCCATGATAAGGCATACAACCAAAAGACCTTGAGCGTATTTATTTCGACAAAAAAAAAAACAAGCATTCGATACGAATGGACTAAATCAGCACATCAGTTGTAGTCCAATCTGCAGTTACGTTTGAGTGTAGAAGGAAATTTGCGCTTCATAAGTTTTTTCTCTTTTTGAGTAATCTAATTTTTGCGTTGTCAATCTATGAAGCATCTTCGTTATCCAAAGAATTCGTCCGAGATTTTTGAATTTTGTCATTCTGATCTGTTCGAATCGACCCATTCCTTAGTCATCCCTATTATTTCTTTTTTATTCATTGTTTTTTACGTTGTGTTTGTGTTTTTTTCTATCTTATCAAACAATCACTCCGTAGCCTCTTTAAGTTTCCAGGCAGAATTACGTGTTGTATAAAATAATTCAATCTACCATTAGGCAGCTTCTTTAGAACACAACAGTCAATCGTCTGCGCATGTGCCAATTTTGTAACAGCTAGGTCTAGCTAGTTGGCGTGGCTTTATGGCTGTAAAGGCCAATCAGTTAGAAGCCACCACAAAAACCGGCAAGCCACCGTCTATTCAAACCGTATAACGTTTCAGTTATAAAGCTAACAACAAAATTGTGAATCAACGGGATACCTGTAATTAAATAAGCTTATGTTCGAAAAGTCTATATTAATTTTTCCTTTACCCTATTTTTATTTCCTTTTGCAGATTTCGATAGACTTTTAAATTTTGTTTTCGCAAATTTGGTGTGACAGCTTATGTTTCCTTCTTTCTGACACCTTTAGGAGCGCAGTTCCTAAAATACTTCCTCGTCGCATTGTGAACAAGTCTAGTTTCAGGAATATTTTTCGACCTTATCTGCTCTTAATGTAACCCCTGATATTTAATCTGGATTGAAATGGAGTTGGTAGAACAAACAATGCGAGAAAAATACCCTAAGCTAGTGTAGTTGGGCACAAAACTGCGGGGACTGTTCGTCAAGCAGATAGTAACTATATCTGTCTCGTTCGGATTTTCGCATTCAAAGCTAAATGAGATCTCCCTTTGTCACGATTAGCCTTTAGTTTAAAACTTCCTTTTCTTAATGCTGATTTTCCGCACCGTTTATTCTGAACCGTATGGTAAATTGGCATTAATTTAACACACGTTAATTATTCTAAGTGTTTATGTTTATAACAAGGCACACATATTTAGCCGACCTGACGTCACGTGGATACGCTCCATTTGATATACAACGGTCATCAAAGGCGTAGGTATAATGGTATCCAGTTCCCACTCTCAAACACGCGAATTTAGAAACCTGGTGACAGTTGATGTGGACATTTTCTTGAGAGTACCGTCCTCAATATCGTCGTTGGTAGAGGAGCGCGCTCTACGTAAAGTGTTTGTACCACTCTTGATATGTTTATTTTTATCCTTCATAAGGCGAGAATGCATAAAAGCTACTTTTAAAGCCAGCCTCTTCACTTCATCCTGCAGAAGAGAACGCCCACATATTAATGTCCTCGTAATTGTACAAAATGTTTTTGTTGTTCGATTTGTTTGAAGTAAAAAATAAAAATAAAAAAAACTCCATTCCACGCAAATCGGCTAAAAGAAATAACACTCGTTACGTAACGAAAATGGTTCCACATTTGAAGTCTCTTGGTGTGACTGACCACTGTTCCCAGGGACTGGAAGGGAGAGGACTGGCCAATCAACTGAACCACCTCAACCAAGATGACGCCCAGGATCCTCTACAACTTTAACTCCTACCCAGTCTCCCGCGATTTTCTTAGCCTTCACGCCGGAAGCTTTGGCCAAGAAAGATTTCTGATGACTGTGAAAATCGTTTCTGCATAAACTGGAAAAAAAAAAGCCGGTATCGACCAGAAGAGCCATCGAACCACGCTGTTGACTATATTACTATATTGTGGATGAGAATTGGTCAACACTGGTGCTGAGCAAGCGATCGATCTCATTTCAACGTAATTCCTGCTACCCAAACTTGCTTAGTGCTCGTTTGTTACATCCTATGAAAAAGTAAACTGATATAACATCGTAGATGTATCACCTTTAGGTCTTTGTTTTCCCTTTCTAATGTTGCCACATCAGTCGAATAACTACCGTTAGGAGTCTGAGGCGAGTCACTAGGCTGACGGCCAACTGTAAGTCGCCGGTCAACCTCTTTTCCCCGTGTCTTTCGCAATAACCGGAGCTGTTAAAAAAGATGTAATAATAGTAATAAATTGAAAACATAGAATTGTTATAACGAAAGCGCTATTCCCTAAAAGCAGATATTACAAAAAATGATCAGACCAATTCAAATCAAATGAACACAGAACAAATAACCAGGCATAAAATTGAGATAGAATATATGAAGGACAACATTAGATTGCATAGAAATTATAAAAGAAAAAAATGCAAACATTTCATATGCTAGCCTTTTCCAGGCACTCAGCAAGTAAAATAGTGTAAAATCCGTGCAAAGTAGTAAACGGCGAAAAACAAGGGAAGTGTGGGTCGGTTCATTCATTACGCGACTCGACGCAAGCCTCCCTCATCTTTTTCAATCCTCCGCTGCCTTCGTGCCGCTATTCATATAACAGGTAGTAAACAACGAAATCGATAAAGTTGCCTGGCTATCCTTTTGCTAGGTTTAGCCAAAAATCATCGTTAACAATGTATCACAACTATGCTTGCCTTTGGAATGAATAGGAACAGTATTGCAACAGAAGCTGTCATCTGAATAAGAATAAATTCCGTGGCAAAAAGAATATCAGGATTGGTGTTGTTAGCAGTGAGAATTCTAGGACAGAGAGACGAGATCAAGCATGTCAGAGGTTGTCTTAAACATGAAATAAGTAGTAAAAAGCAAAAAAGAGCTTCGTTTAGATAGCTCCGTAAATAATGCTAGCCAGTTGTAAGAAGCAGTCATTTTCACTGCCGCTTAAACTTACGATAATAATTGCCATTCAAAACTAAGTCATTTTTATAGGTTTTATGGATGTACATCCTGTAAGTTAGGTGTAAGGGACAAATAATGGTTTTCTCGAGATACATGTTTGATATGGAGATTCAGAATAAAATTCTTCCAGAAAATCGGAACAGTTTGTCCACCAAGTTGTCTTCGACGCTCATAGATCATGCGGTAACGGCCGGCGGGGTATTTTCTCTTGCGCATGCTCATTTCCATTGACTTGAATGAGGGCTCTTAGTCTACACACAAACGTCATAAAATCTGTTTGTACTACTTATTTTGTGGGAGGCGCGGCTGCTTTAAGTTCAGCGCGTTAACTTTCGTATCGCTGGCTCATTTGTGTCCTTCTCTTCACCCGGAGTATAAATGGGTACTGGCGAATTGTCAGAGAAGCCTGATGAAATACTGAGGGGCAAACTGTGAGAGACAACCATCCCAAGTGGAGGCGAGGAGGGGAGGGGGAGGGTGGAGGTTGTAGCTTCACTTCAGACAACAGAAACCGAGATAAGCTTCAGCTGGATGGGCCACTTAGCACAAGTGCAAACCATTTATTAGTCCTAATTAAGCTCGTTTCCTTCTGTTGGTATTAATTTAAAGGTGTTTGGTGCTTGTAAATTGTCCACCCTTTTCACCCATCATCCTTCCTCTCCCCACCTCAACAACTTACTTCAACACGGCAACAAAGCATGTAATAAACATGGCGTTGTAAACAGCCAAAGTAGTAAATCTAGTTTCATTGTAGGCTGATGGCGCCTTTCGAACCCGGAAGCATAAAAGCATGGCACCAACCAGTAAAATGAGGTCACCTGTGTGAGAGAAATTTGAAAAATAAAATTCAAACGTCTTTTATGTTGTAGAGAAAGGCTGACGTGTTTGGGAATCACTTTCCTTCCATAATTTACATTTCAGGGCTTCGAATGCGACATTGAGAATTTTCCATTAACCAAACTACACCAAATTACCAGATAAGTAGGAAAGCAACTCCAGTGCAAGGCGAGTTTCAAAGGGAAATTTCTGGATCTCAAAAAAGACCTCCTGTTTCCGATTGGAAACATTTTCTGTGGAACTACCTCTTCCATTTAAGAAACTTTTACCAATTCCAGGCCCCCCACAACCACATCTTCAGAAAACAGTAGTTCAAACTTACCAAACAAGATGGCATAATTCATTGGATCGTACGCGCACTGTTTAAATCTCAGATCGCCCGTGCTGTGCTTCACTTGTGGGGGCCTGAATAAAGTCCACATGATGAGAAAAACTACAGCGGAGGCGCAGAGTATGGCTAGACGACCAGCTATCATACCGTCTGTTACATCAACTCGCCTGGGTGAACGAGCGCGAAATGAAGCTGACACTCTGGGAAAATAAAAGCATTAATAGCTAGGGTTAATGCTGAGTTGAGTTGTCGAATAAGGAAAGATGTTCAACATTTTTCAAAAGCGTGAACGAAAGAAAACCTGAAATCCCGCGAGGATTCGAATCCCAACCTACACCGTCACCATCGCCAAAAATTAACAACCACAACAATAACAACAACAAGAGCCACAAAAACAATGGCTTAAGCCTGCAGTCATATTACTGTACCTCCAAACTTTTAGCGTAAGAATTCCATAGACAAGAAAAAAGCCGCATTGGTAAAGCCACACTTCTATGGTACACGACAAAGGAGAAGGGTCCACATACGAAGCTCCTAACTAAAGCAACAATATTCACCATTAGTTATCATAGTTTTCAATGACATTAGTTTATAGTATAATGACAATGATAATGATAATAATATATAACATGAATGTGATATAAAGCATGAATTGTATTTTAATCTTTTGACTGCTAAGATATTCTCTGAGCTAATTCTCTCGGCTAATGACCACACATGTGGGTCAATGTTGTATCACGGCAAATTGTCCTAGTTGATCACTTTCGCATTTCTCCTGCTTGCTTGATCATGAGTTTATACACTAATCAATCATGGGTGAAACCGCTGACAATGAAGCCACATCATCCAACATAGTAATGAAGGACAGCATAAACATATACAGTCTTAACAAAACACGCCAAGTCGTCTTACCGATGAATACATCAAGATGGCGCCAAGAAGAAGAATCTGCAAAAACATTGGACTGGAAACTTCAAAGACCTTTAATAAATAACACAAAAAAGTGTCAGACGTTTCACCAATTTTGTTAGCGCTGCAGGACACACTTGTCATTGCCTTCGGGAAGATTTGAGGCGAGTCAGGGAGGGGTTCGCCGGGAGTCAGGCGCTCATTTTGAGTGCTGGAGCTCTTACAGACCTTTTCTACCGATTCGCGTAGTTCAAGGTTTCAAAATTTTCCTCGGGCGAAGAAAAACTTGGGCCGAATGCCATTAATGTAGCCCTTCTCGCAAGCTACACATTTTTTTGGACTCTTAGTCGCGCTTAGCAAAATACCATCTCCTTCTCTGACCCTATCTTCTTTATGAAAGAATGCTTTTCACATTGTTGACTCTAACAATATTACAGAGCCCTTTTTGATCACGAGTTTAGCGGGGTGGGGTAAGTCCGTCGACCTGAGAGCGGACTCGTGAGAGGTTTTCTCCTTCCAACTATCGGTACAGTGCGCATGTGAACAGTGTGACTGCCTTACACTTTCAGACATAATTGCTAGGTCACGCCAATGGAACACCACAAATGCTTATCTCTCGATCAGCCCTCTTCTTCTTTCAAAGTTGTCACTTATCAGTTTGTAGAGCGTAATTCGGAGACCAACATTGAGAGGGACAAGCAAGGCGCACCAAGTGTCCCATCAAATGCGTCTGTGAGTAAAGGTTACCCATGAGCTACCAGTGGCTCAGTTGATAGAGAAACAGACTATAGAACTGGCTGGGATTCTCTTAACAAATATTCATCATCTTTCAACATAGTATTACCTCATTTTCTCTGAAGATAAATACTACCAGTCCAATGACTATGACCAGTACGACAGCCAAAGCGTTTATACTAATGAGAACTACTCGTGAGATCAGATTCACTTTGTACATGCAGGGACTGCCATCCGTGCATTCCTCACATCCTACGCTACACGGCACACATTCGAATTCTTTATCATACAAATTATTCTGCTTTTTTACTTTCTTGTCATACTCCTCCTCAATTTTGCTGCCGTTAAAGGATTTGGTGTCGGAATTGGTGTCAGGAAAGTAAAAGCCTCGTTCGCAAATACAGCGATAGCTGCCTCGTTTGAAGCCTTGGTTAGCGATCGGTACACACTGAAAGAAAAGAAACGGTTGCTTAGCGTAACCCTATGAATTTAAGCGACGCTGACCGCGCTTCATCATCATTCAACGAACAAGGTGATATTCCAATTTTTTGTACTCGACATTTCATGGTCTCGATTTGAGAAGGTTACCATCTACTTTTTCGGTTTGGCCCTGTGATCGGTTTTCTATGTAGATGGTACCAATTTCTGACGACACGCAGTAAATCACGCTACTCCTAAAGAACAGGGGTCCCCTTGAAGGGTGGGTTTGCACTAAAAGAATAAATATCAAGGGTAAACATCAGAGTGGATGGGGAAGGAAAGAGTATTCTTTCTTGCTCCTCCCACTCTCCTTCCAATCATTTATTATTTACCCCTCTGCTTTAACTGGGGGAATATAAGATGGCACAAAAGCGTTTCAGCGTCGTTCGCGAAAAATACCCTGGCATCGCGCAATTCACGTCGGGAAAGTTTAAGTCCAAGTGGATTGCTTGTTAAGTGCAAAATCTGATTGAGAAAGAATCCAGAGGAATGAAAATGGATCCATTGTTGTGTCTTACCCGTGTGGAAGGCCGTTTACATTTGTGTGTGCCCAAGAAGTCGAGCAGCTTTTCAGAATCGGTACTTCGGGTTTTGTCACTCGTTCCATTCTTCCCTCCGCTTCCTTTAGCCGAAGTGTCTTGAGGATCACACTGGTTTATGTCGATGCTGCTCAATTCAACGTCAATGCTTACAACACCACTGAAATGAAAATAATTAAAAAAATAAACCTTAGTTTACAATTATTGGCCGAAGGCGGAGAGAATTTTGTTGAATAATCCCCCGAGACGAAGTTGAGGGAATTATTAGTAGAATTGCTCAAGTGCTTGCGAATTCTGTTGTACATATTCGTTTTGATGCTGAAACCACTCTATTATAAGTGTTCTGATAGCTCGTAGTGAGATAAAGAACCAGTTTCCTCTACAATTTTATAGGTTCGTTGAATTCAATCAGCAAAAACTTCATATCTTTCTTTGGAAAAGTGTTACTCCAAACTTTACAGCATCTTTCGCGCTCTTCGGAACCATTTTTTCTTTTTTTTTTTTTTAATCACGTCCATTACTTCCTCAGTGGCACTAACTAAACGCGAAATTTAGCGTTCCTACCATAATCTCCTCGCGCGAAATTATTATAGCGAAATATGACGCAATCCTCGACCAATCATAGTGCACACATCTGTATAATCACCAGAGCAATTAAACTTAAGAAATTATCTTTTTTTAATTCCAGGGTTGATAGTTAGTGTACTGTGGGTTTCCCACATGCAAAAGGGGGACAATGACACAGATTCGTGTCCCATGGCAAATGCTATAATGAAGAAAAAATTAATCAGCAATTGAAGCATCTAGAATTGTCTCTTTCCTTTTAATTATGGTGTTCCTTGGTCTTTTATTTTATTACTATTATTATTTTATTAATTTTTTTCTTTGATCTAGTCAAGCGCGCGCTATTTACATTTTTCGCGTTTTTAACATTCAAATGTAACGTACAACTGAAGATGACACGAGAATGTCGAAACATGTCTTGTAAATTTAAACTCAAAGTTGTTGTTTCTTTTTTGAAAGTTATTGTCACTCTGCTGTCTTTACGTCCTTTTGGTAACATTATCATGAAGAAGAAAAGATAAATTTAGGCTCAGTACCATAGAGAAGGGTTGGCATTTTCACTACTCGGCGTTAGCGATGGGAAGAAATCAACAGTTTCCCATGGCAATCAAGGGAGACCTATGGTAGAGTATGCGCTGGTTCCTATTTTCATTTTTGTTCATTCTTCGCCGGATTTTAGGCCTTTTGGTTTTGAAACTTGCTCTGTGTTTTTTAACAAAAGTCGTTCAGAAAAGTAAACATATCGTCCCAGATACCTCCGTTGACTGAATTATAATTCAATATCAAACTTGTAAAAAGAGGCGTTTACACCATTTTTATCCTTCTCAGACTGCGAAACCCCTAATGTTGATGAGCTGTGTAATTTTTCGTGCAAAGAATTTTGTGTCGTTAAAAATAGCATTTACAATTTTTCGAGTTCCTTCAGCATTTTCTCTGCCGCATTAATTCAGCTACCAAACCTTTTAGTATCATTGCAAGTACAGTTTAAGACTCATTTCTTTAAGAAGCTGAATGCTTGAATTTCCCAGTAACGGGAAGTGACTTTGATCCGAATATTTTTTAAATAGAAAAAAACAAAAAAAATTAGATTGAAAGTACACAAGCGAAAATGAAAATGTAAATTCAAATTTTACATGTCAGCTTACGACAAAAAGCCACTCAGCATCTTCAACAAAAGAATGAAACCAAATTGTCATTTTAAAAGAGATTCAAAATACAGCTTTATTCTTTCTGCTGCAAGAGTATTGACGAACGAAAGTTGTGAGTCAATAGTTTTTCTCTTATCAAGATAGTTATTATTCAAGTGAACACTTTGCATCACTGTGTCGCTCTCGGTATATAACTATTTGCGAATTAATGCCTTTTAGTTTTACCCAAACAACCTCGTTTGCCACAATTGATGGGAAATGAAATGGAATAAAATTCAGGACGTAGTAATAATATTTTTTACGTGACTGCTGATCGTGAATTAGGCGACTGTTTCAATGCAAGAGGCCATAACAATACTAAAAAATAAATCTTAGGCCTAAAAAACCGGTTGCTATCGGAGCGCTAGGAAGCGAAATTACACGCTATGAATTTCTGTACGTGACAGCACGGAAACTGACAAGATAGCCCTAACCTCAAATCAACTACATCGAGTCAATTACGTGCATCATTACGTGCTTAAAGGGCATAAGCTCGCAAAGAATTAAAAACGGTTTCATCTGCATGTTTACGGGCGAATTAATTAACTTTCGATTTCCTATTTCCGAGTCGATTTCAATTAACGGGCTTTCTTTGACCACGGCCACCTTGGGGCGAAAGAAAGCAGACAGTTTTTTAAGACGTAATTAGACAAGTTGCTGTATAATTATTTGGACTACGTGACAAGGGTAAGTGTCAAAATATCGGTAAAAATCTGCTCGAGAGCAGAACTTGCTTTTAGATTTCCATCTACTTCACCAAAGTGCGCTATTGGCCCTGATTGGTTTTGACCCAGACGTCGTCTTTCACACAAATTCGTCGTTGAAAAGAAAACGATTATCAAATTATAGCTGAAGAAGAAAACTACAGGGCTATACTGCACTCATATTCCGTCGTATTCAAGATCAATGAAGCGATAAATGACTATTCTGAACGAGTAAACTGAACTTACAAGAGTGTTTCATCCGTAATGATAAGATAATGAATTCTCCACAATTGACGGGGTGAATTTGATTAAGAAATCTAAGAGAAGTTACAATTTGATCAAGTTTAGGGAGATAAAACATAAAAATTGATACTCGTTTACCGGTTTCTTATTGGACGCACGTATATCACGACCATAAAAGTATTTTGAGCTTCCTGTTTTCTTTTCTTTTCAGTTTCATACGTTTTAAAAAACAAGCAAATCGGAAAACTAAAAACAAACTGAGCGGATATAAATCTTGAAATTTAACCTGGATCTTGGACGATAAATCTTGAACAGTTTCCTCTCTAATTATTAGTCATCAAACAAATTAGTACCTAAATTAAAGTGGACCCGAAAACAATCGGATATTTCCACACACAATATTTCCACACACAATTTTTTGGATGAGCGCATAATCATAAGTCGTCTGTATCGATGAATAAAGAGTCATAACTGCAAGGTTTGTACAACTACGAGATGCGCCTAATAACGGATGGTAGATGTACGCTTAAGTGTAAACAAAAAAAGAAAAGCTTTGCACGAAATCGATTGTTAATTTTTAATAGCAGCAAACAGACACGCAAAAATGTCATGAAATAAAATAGCAAGATACTCACAGAAATTTGTTTGATTCGTTAAAAAATGGAGCCAAAAATGTGATCATCCATATGTAACCCCCAAAGCAATCAAAGTAAGGTCGAGTCCAGTGACCATCCAGATCGTAGCGAACAACTGGAACGTATTTCCTGTAAGACTTTGGTGCCATCGATTGATTCAGACGAATAGAATATATTTCTTCAGCGTTTGGGCTTATCGTTCGGTTTAAACTTTTGTTGCGTGGTTCCCACCACCAAATTGTCTCTGGACTTGTTAAATAATCATGACCAACGGCTATATCTTTTACATGAATTGAGCCATTGTAAGCCTTGTCTCTGAATGCATATGGACAAAATCTCTCGTAGTTCCGATACTGGTTCTTTTCAAAACAAATCGCTGAACCAAAAACGGACGGCGAAAATCGAACATTCGATCGCACTACGTTGTAAAGCAATGTGTCATTTTCCACCATAGAGAAGCCATCCGCGGTTTTCACGCGCCATAAAGATGTCAACAGATTTGCAACTTCGATCGCGAGCAATGCCTCGCTTTTCCAGCGAGCGCTCTCGAATCTAATGTCAAGAATAACCGACTTATTCGATGCGCAGGATTTGTTTTTCGCCTGGCGTACCTCTTCCACAAATCGCAATGCCTTTTTAAGATGGTCCCTGTGCGTGTCCGAACCAGAGGGACCGCTCTCTTCTCCGTGTTTGAAGCTGTGATCCGTGTTCGCTTCAGCAAATATAATCCCGCGGCTTCTGTAATCAAAGCCTGCAAGAAAGAGACAGTAGACCAAACCCCAAAGCTGACCTATTTTTGTCTTCATATCCTCCAATTCAGAACATTCTGTAGCCGAGAGAACATCTCTTAAACGATGGTTGAAACTGAAACCATCTCTGTGTGTCACATGCTTTCATCAGGTCACAACACGTTATTCTGCTGACTTCCGAACGATGTATAGATTATGGAGCATAATAGATACACTGGGTTTCGTAACGCTTTCTCGTCACGCTCTCTAAACGTCCTCGCTGGCGGTCAATGTCGAAAAATAGTCTTTAAATTATGCTCGACTCTCTCGCAAGCCTTGTCTAATTGCCGAGTAAAACAAACAAAATTGTAATGGTTTTTGTGAATATGAAAAAACCTTTTTTGCATATTCGATTTCCTGATGTACTTTCTAAATGTACAAAAGAAGAGTATTTGTAATCAATGGGAAGACAGCCGACAAGCTCTCGGTAATTAAAACCATTTCACCGGACAAGAACCGGAAGTATAGATAAGAAATAAACCAGCATGCTTTTAGTGCTTTAGTAGGGAACATGTAGGATCTATAAAAGCGTATTCTTGTATCTCCTTAGGCCTAAAACATGTTGTATAACGAATGTATTACATCGGGTTTCTTAACAAAAAATTGAATACACCTTCAGAGTGAGCTGATTTATGGCCCCCATAAACAGAAAATCCCTTTGTGAAAACCCCTATCTTGACGTGTTGCTAGATGACCTATGATCACGTCGACCAGAAATTCCCTAATAGATAAAGACAAAGTCAACCTCGGTATGTCACTTTTTTCATATTACCAACAAGAAGGATTGCAATTTGCGAGTATCAGAATAATGCATTATTGTGTTCTTTCTTCATCTTGGATGATAATGAAATGTTTGTCTCAACTTCTAGATCTGCAAAGGTACTAGCCCAGAATTAATTTCTTTTAAGCGAGGTTGAATTGCTTTCAATATTCTGCGCTTTTTCCTTCACGTTGGGGGCTAAATATGACACAAGAAAACATCACCACTATACCTTATCAAACGAAATAGAGTTTTCAGTTTTGAAACAAAACACAAAACAATAAACAACTTGAATAAAGCTATACATGTAAAATAATGCATCTATCGTTTCATTTTCGAATGGCTCCGTGATAAACCATGTATCCTCCAGCATGACCACAAAAATAAAAACGTTTATAACGAGGAGAATTATATCATAATAATAAGTGGACTTTATAAAAATAATAGAGAGGAAGATCCAAATTAAAGACGTGCTGAAAGTTGCTAGTCAACACATATCATGTTGTGGCTAGGAAATATGAATTTTTCATTTTTCAATTTGTTTTTTTCGCTCTTTTAAAATCATCACTTTTAGCCTGAAACATCACCTGGCTTAGAGAAACTTTGTAAGAATGCCAATCTTTTTTTTTTTTTTTTTTTTTTTTTTTTTTTTTTTTTTTCATTTTTTGAGGGCAATGGTGCTCACTGCACTGCTTTGTGGAAGAGTATCTGGGTTCATATCCAACAGTAAAGGGCTCGTTTCTCACAGCGGGAGCCATGTTTTTCTTTATCGTAAGCATATCACACATCGAGTGATATCTATCTTTGATGTACACAGAAGTATATTTTCAATTTAGTGGCTTTCATTATCAGATGTCCTTTCAAATGAGGATAGCATGGGGAGAATGGTAACGTTTGCATCGACTGAGACTTTCCGACCAGCCACATACGAGTTACCAAATATCCATGACACGACAGGCCTTTCTCAGCCCCGAAGCGTCAGAATTTATTTTCCTTTTTTCGAAATAACCTTTCTTTTCAACCGATGTAGCTGTTATTCACCAGCCGGTTACATACTAACAAGTTCAGACTTTTTTCTAGAGTTGTGTATATAAGATAGGAATCGAAGAAAGGCTGATAGTTTCTAAAGAAACTGTTTGGGGTTGCGTCGGTGGGGGTAACGAAATAATTTGAATATATCAACAAAGTTGAAATGGTAAATTGGCCACCGTTACTGTTATAAAAGCTGACGTTTCGAGCGTTAGCCCTTCGTCGGAGCGAATAGAGGATTTGTGGGTTGTGTATGCTTTTGAAGCCAGAAAATGGAGCTACGTGATTGGTGGGAACATGGCAACGAGAAAAACACGAATAAATTAGTGGAATGAAAATCGTTCGTTGATACCTGTGGGATTTAGACTGCCGGTTTGAAAGATGAGCCTTTGTTGAAGAGTTTTGCGGCTTTCCGTGCTACCTAAGTGTAATTAAGGAAAGACCGCAGATTGCCATATGTTGCTAAGTTAATCATTCTTAGCAACATATAAGACCTTGAGTGTTGGTCCGGCCAGGGCTTGAACCCTCGACCTCCCGCACAACAGTCCAGCGCTCAATCCATTGAACTAACTGGGAGACTTCGAATTCTCCGTGGTTCAATGAAGGACGGTTTAAATCTATACACACATATAGAAGATATAATACGGTTGCGAAAAGATATAACTTTTATGGTCTATTGCCAAGAACGATATATTATTGAGATACGAGAACATAAAATTCATATCTTTGAGCTAACGTGTAATCTTCTTTTCACAATATGGACAATAAACGTACATGATAGGCGTATTGAAAAGCTGGCTTAAATATAAATACTAGATCAATAGAAACACCTGGCGCCCAAATTATAAAAAAAATTTACCTATAACAGCGTCAGTTAGACCAAAATACGTGTGAATGATGTCATAGGCTTAATGAAAATTGGATAACTGAATCATCAGTTACTTTTACTTTCAGTCTTTCACTGCGAACCTGGGAAGGCCGTTCACTGAGCACGAAAATTAACACAACAAAAATTTACCTATGTTTTGTCACAGTTTTCGAGAAACTCCGGTCCTGCATTTTTGTTTCGTAGTTATCGTTTTCCTGTTGTTCGAAAAATGCACTTATGTCTTCGTCGCTTACCACAACAAATTTTGCGGCCATTTAATATTTCAAACAATAAACAAACTAGGTTCATTCAGCAAAGTTCGAAAAGGCGAGAATTGGGACGTCGTTGCTCAATATGGCCACTCATTCGCCACTCATATGCATGTTACAGACGAAAAATACGCCACTCGGTTCCCGGATGTAATGATCGTATTGATTCCACGAGTGTTTTTAGTCCTCGGTAAAAACTCGCGTCCACATGATAAATATTTATCTCTAGCAGCTCTTCTAGGACTCTTTGCGTCTCTAATGCAGCACTCATTAAGGACGACGTTCAGGAAAAAAAATCATACTTCCAAAAGTAGTTGCCCACCATTACTTTACGTCTACGTGGATAATGTTTAAGTTCAAGATTTGTTTTTCTATTAAAGATTTAGCCAAAATAAAGTTACAGTTCGTTGAGAGGAAAACAATTTCAAATCGGCGATTTTAGTTTTGAACAATATTAAAATGTATTTTACTTTTTCTGCCTGTGACTATCTAAAAATCCCCTGATAAGTGGACAACCACGAAACACTGTCTGTAGGGATGAAATGTAGTTGATTTTTTCTACCTATCACACGTTATACTCGCTCTACTATATGTATCGAGCACTGTTTTACAGATAGCAAGTCTAACTCTTCTATATACATTACAACCCCGATACAACGATCCTCGATATAACGATATTCCCGGTACAACGATAAATATGCTAATACCCAGCAAAAGTTACAGTACAATGTATGGGACAGAACCGCCGTCCACCGCTCCCTTGGCATATCATTATATCGGGGTTCCACTGTATATATATTTATTTATATATATATATATATATATATATATATATATATACACACACAGGCGAAGCTCATCACCTCAGTTGTGATTTGAGCACTCTCGTATGGCAACATGCCTGCACTTGGTCCCGCAAGTGTAGCGCCCAGGCAATGGTTTATTCCAGAGCTTGGCCCAGTGTCTGCACTGCACTGACGAGACCCACATAGGTCGAAACAGTGTGCACCCTGTCTGCAGTTATATATATATATA